CATACAGGGAATAATACAGTATTACAGAATATTATCCTGCTTTTTCTTCTATCTCTCTGACTATTCTTTCTCAGTCTCTTTGGGCAATCTATCCCCATTTTTCTAACCTCTAAACATCAGAGTGCCCCAGGATTCATTTTCAGGTCTCTTCTCTTTTCTCTCCACATTCATTCCCCTAGTAATCTCATCTAGTTCCATGACTTTAAATGCCATACATATGCTGGTGACTCCCAAACCTCTATCTCTAGCTTGGATCCATCTTCTAGACCACTAGACCACTGCCTACTCGATGTCTTCACTTGAATGTCTAGTAGATATCTCCAGCTCCACATGTGTAAAACTCAACTCCGGTTCTCTGTCCCCACCCCATACACCCCCCACCTCTCGCAAATGCTCCTTTCCTGCTCTTCCCCTTCTTGGTAATGGACAACTCCACCTTTCCAGTTACTCAGGACTCACATCCCACATCTATTCTATCTTCAAAATACATCCAGAATCTGACCACCTCTCATCACTGCCATCATGACCACCCGGGTTTAAGCCACCATTGGCTCTTGTCTGGATTAATGCAATGCTCTCATAATTGGTTTCTCTGTCTTTGCCCCTACCCCACTCCAGTCTATTCTCAATCAGACACAGCAAAATGCAAGTTAGATCATGTTATTCTTCTGCTCAGAATGCGCCCATGGCTCCCCATCATTCTCAGAGTAAAAGCCCAAGTCCTTACAATGGTCCATGAGGTCATATGTGATCTGTTCCTCACCCCCATTACCTCTCTGACCTCATCTCCTACTGCCTTCTCCTTCGTTTACTCCATTCTAGTCACATTGGCCTTCACAAGACGGAAGTCAAGGTGTCAGTGTGGCTGACCTCTTATCTGGAGGCTCTGGAGAAAAATCTGCTTCCAAATTCACTTACGTTGTCTATAGAATTAATTTCTATAATGAGAGCCGGGGGGGGCCCCCCTCTCATCTTTTAGAAGCCGCCTACATTTCTTACCACTTGGCCTTCTCCATCTTCAAGCCAGCAACGACACATCAAGCCTTCCTTGTGCTTCAGATGGTTGATGTCCTCTTCTGCTACCAGTTGGAGAAAACTTTGCTTTTAAAGGACTCATGTGATTATATTAGGTCCACCTAGATAATCCCCTTGATTAGTAGCCTTAATTACATCTGCAAAATCCCTTTGGCCACATGATGTAGCATAATCATAATCGTGATACCTCATCATATTCATAGTCTTGATGATTAGGGTGGGAAATCTGGGGTGAGCATTTTAGGGTTCTGCCTACTAAGGTGATATTCAGACTGATTAATAAACCAATCAATCCACATATAGGCCAGCTATAGTACTGGAACAGAGTCATGGATACTACCTGCTCTTCCAAATTATGAGAATTTACTGGATTGAGAGGAGGTCTGGGGGTGTCCCAGAGGGGACAGCTGGAGTGGCAGCTATTTATGGACTGACATGGAAATATTTCAGTATTTTAACAACTGAGTAGACATATCAGTACATAGCAGTTGGCTATTGGTATTGATTAGAAGGTTAAAAATCATGGTGTAGTGTGTGAATTGCTGCTTTGAGAGTTTGTGCTGTGAGAGTCTGAGGTTGTCCCGGATGACTGAGGGCGGGTAGGAGACCACCTCTCCTCCTTGGCACTTCAGTGGTGTGCAATAGCTTTCTCCAGCCTTGTCTGCTATCTTCGCAGTGCCAGGTTTGTTCAGATGAATATCTTCATTTGCATGGCTGTCTTCTGCGTGGGAGAGTCCATCCATCATCTTAGCTTCCAAATGCTGCCACCCTCAGGGAGACAACCAATCCTATGTATTTGGGCTCTCCCCAAGCCACCCAGCAGCTGTGGCTCAGTGAGGCAAGTGCTATTTACTTATTCTCAGAATTAGAGTGAGTATTCCACAGCAGCCAAAGAAACCAAGGGTTCTTATTAACTTGCTGAAGGAGGCTTTATCATAGACCATCACGAGCCCCATATTTTGTGATGACTGGTCTCAGGCAACAAAGATATTCCTTATAGTTGGGGTAGGAGGTAGGAATAGGGCTTAAGGTAAATGAACTTTGTGGGACTGGTCTGTCTGTCCTACCTGATATTTTTTAATGGATGCATCTTATTAAAATGGCCTAAAAAGAAGCTTTTCTTGTGCATATACATCAAGAACAGCTGTAACAAGGTGGCTGTGTTGAGAGAAGTGTCACTGAGGGTAATAAGCAGCTTGACATAAGGAGACATAAGGATAAAGGTAATTTCTAATAATAATATATGATATGGCTAGCTTCACCTGCTGATGCTAGCTGGGACAACAGAGCATAGGCCTGGAGTGATCCCTGCTTCACCATATCTTGAGAATAACTCTATACACTATAGAGATGGAGCCTCCTCTGGCATAGAAATACAGATTGCTACAGAGCCATATATCCACATCACCAGTAGCTCTGAATCCTGTATGGATCATTGAGAAAGTGCTCAACCCTTCAAGGGATTGCTATTACTTGGTGTTCCTGAGCCCTGTCCTAGAATGTACACAGAATAGATTCACAGTGAGGCACACTGACGACTGAATCTCTACATAGACTGAGTCAACCTGTGATACCTTTTGAAGTAGAAAAAATCTGTTTTCCCTTTCTGTAACCTTTCCCCCTGCAATATTAGGGCTCTTCTAAAAACTGCATTGACTACCGAAGTAAAGATGTTGCAAATGCAATTCAACCTACTTGCTGGTCTTTACCACTTAAGGAGATCCACATATTTTTGGAATCAGGTCGCCCAATTTTGGGATCCCACTAGATACATTTCCGAATGGTAAAAACATGCTCCCAGGGGATCCGAAAGCAGCAGGTACTATTCAGAATGGTTGGCCATGACTCTGCACGTATGAGATGGTATAGACCCCGTTCTAGCCATCTACCCCAGGCTCCCTCCCAAGCCAAGGTGTTTTCTTCAGGTGCAGCAGCAGCTGGCATTAAAACAAAACCTACTACCAGCAAGTGGTGACAGGAGAGCTGGAGTTGATTATTTCCACCCTTCCTAGAAAATGTCACTGAGCTCAGTGGGAAACACCACAGCCCTACATTATGTGACAAGAAAATATCTCCCTTTTCTACTGTCACAAGGAACACTCAGCTGCCAGACATCCAGTGAGAAAAGTACAAATGCCTTAGCATGAATATTGTCATCTTTGGCAGGGGTAGAGGATAGGATGCCAGGCATAAAGGGTGGAAAAGTCAACTCCTGAGATTCCATGCCTGCCCCCACCCCTTTATAGAGACAGATTACAAGTGAGCATAGATAGTTTCAGAACTCTTGGTCTAGTTGGGTTTGAATGAGAGAGGGAAAGAGAGAGGGAGAGAGAGAGAGAGATTGAGAATATGAAACTGAATTATATTCCAGTTCAAATGCAACAGATGAACAGAATTTCAGAGCTAGCGTGGACCTTATGTGCCTATCCTGTTCATCTGTAGACATGCAGACACACAGGATATCAGAGTTTGCAAGGATATTAAAGGTCATTGATTTCAATTCCCTCACTTTTGGGATGAAGAAATTGAGGCCCAACAGGGGAAAGTAAGTTACTTAAGATCACTCAGTTATACATGACAGAACAGGGACTAGAGACCCTGGTTTTTAAACTTCTAATATTTTTTCAATATAATCCCCCCCTTCTCTACCACCTAAATACCTAATATCTAAACCGTCCTAGTAGACAATTTTATATCCTAGTTTTAACATCCTAGTTTTTTAAACTCTCAAATGACAGAAATTCTACAAACTCATCTGTGAGAATGTATTTCATTGGCATTTATAGTTAGGAAGTTCTTCCAAATAGGTAACTCAAAAGTCTCCTTCTGCAACATACATCTGTTCCTTTTTGGTCTGTCTTTAGTGGAAATGGATCACAGATGTTCACCATTACCAATAATATTTAAGACGTGTGTGTATGTATGTGCATGTATGTGTATGTAACCAATAATTTAAGCTTCTTTTCTGTAGCTTAAATGACTCCTCAGTGGCAAACAAAATTTGAGAAATAGAATCTAGGAAAGAAAACAAGGCTTGGGTTTTTTGATTCTGTGCCTTCTGTGCCACAACAAAAACTTTCAACATATACCTAGAGGCACATGCCAGAAAAAACAAAACAAAACAGAAAAACATTCAACAGACTGATCCAGAGGGCGTGACCTAGCATTGTAACAGGAACTAAACATCCAAATTCACTGATACCCAACTACACAGAACCTCAGATAACCAGAACTCTATTGCTACTACTCCATTTCTAGAAATGATAGGCAAATTATAAGAAAATATGCTAAGGTTAGATATTTACTTTGGCATCAGTAACCAGGGTAGGACCTGAACTGATTCCATATCCAATACTTTTACCATTTCTAGTCTAGGGTTAAAAAAATTCTGATCTAAATAGTAACATGATGGTCAAAAAACATTCAACAGTGGACTCTACTTAAGAGTGCCTCATAGCGGAGCGCAGTTACTCATATATACTTGATCAAAAAATAGCTACTTTCTCTCTGAGAAGGTCATCCTTATCAATAGAATTTTCAGTTTGAGGAGCGAGGTGTTTGCAGCAAAGAGGGAGATAGGGCTCTCCTGCCTAGAGAACCAGATCAGCTGGATTAATCCTGGAGATCAGTGATGTGGTATGTTGTAGCCAAATTGTGCTCAAACCCCTGAATTTTCCTTATCAAGGCAAGAAGATGGATTCAAACATTTTAAAATATTTTTAACAGTAGCCAGAAAGTCTTATTAACTAGAACAACTTATTCTAGATGACAACATTCAATAGACTAAGAGTCCAAACTGAATTACCCTGGAAAGAAAGAATTCAGGCTAACAACTGGGAAAGCTACTGTAAATTAATTGAGGCAGACGGACTCTTCTTTCATTGAGCTTCCTTCCAGTGGGCTCCATGCCAATGTGACGCCTCCTACATCCCAAGTAAACACCCTTGTAAAGCAAAGCTACTCACGGCAATAAGCTGGTAGGAGTTGTTCATCATGGCAATCAGCATGTTCAGCAGCACTACCAGGGAGATGACATTGTATGTCCCAAACATGGTAGCTCCCACAAACTCGGTGAACTCATGTCTGGCTTTCACATTGGTGACATATAGATTTAAAAGGCCAAATACAGACCAGAAGAGTGACTGAAGGGTCTCAAAGAGCCTAAAAGAGATCAAAGAAAGAACAGGTTAGTTAATTCTCTAGGAAGAGCAAGAAAAGAGAGAAAACATAAGGTGATCTGCTTAATAAGGGGGCTGCCAGACTTGCAACAGGTAGACTGATGAGCTCACATACTGTGGTTTCTTCCCTAACACAAACCAGCCAGGTCAGTTTATTTATTTGCTGCCAGTTCTATGTCTTCTACTTTGCTTTTCTACCTGGAATTCCATCTCTCTCTTCTCAGCCTATGCATAGCCTAAAAATTTTCAAGGCTTATTTCAGGAGCTACTTCCTCTATCAAACTTTCTCTTTCATCTTCAGACCATGTGATTTACCACCTTTCTAATTATGCAGAGGCAGTAAATGCAGTGGTTAAGAATATGGTGATTGAGTTAGATTGCACTGGGTTAGAATCCCAGCTCTGACACTTGCTAGCTGGGTGAACGTGAGAGCAAGTTACCATTTCTGATACTTCTTTTGTGGCTCTCACACGGCCCAGATGGTGCTAAACTCTGTGGAGGAACTTGAAGATTCTCAAATTAACACTTTATATAGATTGTTATTAATATATATTAACCAACCATTATTGAAAACTTACTATATATCAGCATAAAGTTTTAGGCACTTTTACATACATTATCATTATGATCCTTATAAACTTCATTGTTGCTAAGGAGGAAGCTGATGTTCAGAGATTGAATGACTTTCCAGAGGACACGCAGCTAGTAAGTGCTGAGCCAGAATTCGAATCCAGGTCTGTCTGACCTCCCCAAACCACTGCATTAGTCTATATTATTTGATGGCTTCACAAATTATTGTTTCCTTTCATAGTCTCCACATCCAAACATGTAACTACAATCATACGCTTTTGGTATCTTGAGTTTCTTTTGCCTCATATTCACAAATCTGCATACAGCAATACAATGCAGCCCGCTCATGGGTGGCACATAACAACCATTTCCCAAACCCATGGAAGCCGCGTAGAACATAAGAAATGCTACTTTAAGAATGAATGTACTCTTCCAATTCGCTTGAAATGTATTGTTCTTAAGGAGCCTAATGTATTTTGAGAGGCTTAGGGATTTGTTCTTGGGGGTGAGTGGGGAGTGTTTTAAAAGTCCCTCTCTCTGGAAATGGTCTTTCCGCAGATCTTTGCATGGCTGTGTTGTTATCAAGATCTCAGCTCAAATGTCACTTCCCAGAGACTCTTTCCTTGGTTTCTCTACCTAAAGTAGCTTTATCAGTTATTCTGTATCCCATTGTCTTGTTTCATTTCTTTTGTAGCACTTGAGACTTCCTAAAATTATATTAAGTAATTTTTATTTTAAATGGTTATTTTCTGTTCCTCTCCACTAGAAGGTAAGCTTTATGAGGGCAGAGACACACAGCTACTATGTATCTGGCACATACTAGGCATGCAATAATATTTGTTGAATAAATGAATGAATACATGTTAACTATTACTATTACTGTTATTAAAGTAGAGAAAATTTGAATCCCATTGACGATTGCACAGTCAGTGGGCTGCACAGCGGGGGCTGTTTCATTTTGATGAAGGCTGTGCTCTGCACTGGCCTGACTCTCAGGGAGCCTGCTTCAGGGATGCCTGGGCATCGTGCACATGGTCCTTCTCAACCTGTTAAATGGCTCTTCTCTGATTATCATAGATAAATTCCACGACCCCCTTCAGCATCGCATTGCTTGTGAACTAGACTAGAAGGAAGAAATTTGGTATTTGTTTGATGGAAGTAAGCACCAGTTGGTGAAGCATTTAAGAATCAACAGTAAGTTGAAAATCTGGAGTTCAAGGGCCAGGGCACTAGAACCAGAAAATATGGCAAGTCAGACCTATCACTGGATCTGAATTTCCAGGAGACTCTGTCAGTCAGGGCCAGGCAATACAATGCATCACAGAGCCAGGCAGGGGGTCAAAATATAGGGAAGATATGGGATTCAGGAATCTGGCCCTGCTAGGAGGACACAGCCAGGACCTGGTGATGTCCATTACATATCAGAAGTCAGGGAAGGCAGGAGGCCAGCAATGGCACAAGCAGCTAGCACAGAAGCTGGGTAACAGAAGTTGGGGCAGATGTTCAGAATAAAAGAAAGCAGCTGAAGTAAATAGGAACAACAGTCTGAGGAACCAGAGTTCCTGGAAGCTGAATGACCTCAAACATAGAATGCATTCAATAAGCATTTGTTGATTGCTTGACAGACAGTAAGGCCATAAACCAGGGCAAGTATGTCATTAATGTGTTATCAGGGCCTTACTGAATTGGTTGCTTCTCCTGAATGAATGATGTTACCCTCCTTCACCTCCACCCCCACAACAATTAAAATTGCAGTGGTTTATGTTTGAGTGTAGAGTTTATTGCTAGTTTTTCCGTTGACTGATACGAAGATTCCCTAAAAGTGAAAGTCTGGGCATTTAAAATCTACCCTCGGCTGTGGTGACATTCCAGTCAGGGAGACCCTGTGGATAAAATTGTAGAAGAGGGAAAGAGCATAGCGGTGGGGCCAGGAAAGATCATTCCTCAATTTTGGTGGTTGGTAGTGAGAATGCCCTCAACATGGTACACAAAATGTCATAATATGGTCTGGTCACTAGGAGAAGCTGGCCTGCTGAAAGGCATGCCCCTGTAAAATGGACTGGCATATGAGGTAGATAAGAATATTCTGGTGAGACATCTGTAGGAAGCTCTGTGGCTTGTAGAGTCAGTTGAATTCACAGGGACAGAGCTACCACTTGGGGTGCCCTGACCCCAAGGGACATTGGTGGCCAGGTCCATAATAGCGTCATCATAAGGATGGAAAGACTTGTTAACCAAACCCTAGAATCCTAATAACAAAGGAATATCTTTTCAATTTTAAAGGGGATGATTTTAGAAAAAAACAACCAGTCCATTTTTATTTAGCAGAGAATAAACAAACATATGGAACTTGGTAGCTCAAGAAAGGGCACAGACTAAAGATACGAAGATTCAAGGAGACTTGGTATTAAGTGTATGGAAGACAAATCCAAAGAGGTGGTTAAGGGGGAACTTTGACATGTTGGGAGCCATCCACAAAGAGATCACAAAGCTAAAGGAATACAGTAAAATAGAGCTGGAACTGCAGTCCTCTGGACATTTGCTAAAAGTCTCATCTTTGAGATGATGAATTAATCTTTTGAAAGGTAGAAATAGGATGGAGAGGATTTACTCCTCTGGACCTAATTCAGACGAGCAATGAATTGGAAGGTGAACTGGAAGAGGAAGGCTCCATGGGAGAAAGAGTGACATCATCCTGTATTTCACAAGTTGTGTTCTGATAGTCCAAATGGAGGCCCCTGATTGACCCTGTGGCCTCATCCTTACCCATTCTGCAGTTTCCTGGTCCTGCTAGTTCTCATTTCACATGGCTTCAACAAGCTCCTAGCTGTATATGGAATGTCCCTGCCCTGTCTTCAACCTCTAGCCTCTACTTCTGTTTCTGTTTCTCCTCAACTTGTTTGACCTTAGAGGTTCAGCTAATGCTCCACCTCCTCTAGAAGCCTTCCCTAATTCCTTTCCTACAAGGTTGGATAAGATGCTCCTCTTTTGTGCTTCGAAAGTACCCTCATCTTGTTACACAAAGGTGCATATCACACTGCGGAGGCAACAAAGGGGAGTGGCTAAGAGCAAACTTTAGACCCCTCCACTTATTAACTATGTGACTCTGGGAAAATTATGTAGCCTCCCCCTCTCTTTTTTTTTTGAGACAGTCTTGCTCTGTTGCCCCAGCTAGAGTGCCATGGCGTCAGTCTAGCTCACAGCAACCTCAAACTCCTGGGCTCAAGCGATCCTCCTGCCTCAGCCTCCCGAGTAGCTGGGACTACAGGTGTGCGCCACCACGCCCGGCTAATTTTTTCTATATTATATTTTAGTTATCTGGCTAATTTCTTTTTATTTTTAGTAGAGACAGGGTCTTGCTCTTGTTTGGGCTAGTCTTGAACTCCTGAACTCAAGCGATTCTCCCGCCTCGACCTCCCGGAGTGCTGCGATTACAGGTGTGAGCTACCATGCCCAGCCTGCATAGCCTCTTTAAACTTCAAGTTTCTTCATCACAAAAACGATTATTAGTAAGAAAAATACAAATTGCTAACATTTATTGTGCTCTTACAATATGCCAAGCATTGTGCTAATTGCTTTGCATATACAGTTGTCCCTTGGTATCCATGAGGTTTGGTTCCAGGATCCCCCCCAATACCAAAATCCATGGATGCTCAAGTCCCTTATATAAAATGACATAGTATTTGCATATAATCTATGCATACCCTCCTGTATACAACCAGTCCCTGGGTTACAGTTGAGCTATATTCCTGAGAATGTCTTTAGGTCAGATTTGTATGTAACTTGGATCCCTGATGAACAGTACATATACAGTAACAATGATAATAATAATACTATCATGGCTCATTTGTGGTAATAATACCATGTAATACTGTAATAATAATACTCCTGCACTGTAATAAGTTACAGAAGCTATTGTGCTCTTTCTTTTAATCCAAACAAACAGAACATAAAAACAAACTCATACAAAAAGTTTAGATAGGAGAAATTTCAAAAAAGAATATTAAAGGTTAACATCCACCTAATGTTGCAGCAACACTAGGCTAATAGGAATGTTACACTTATTTTGATCTTCTAACCAAATCAATAATAACCTTTCCATTTCAATAACTAATCCACTATACTGCTTAGTAATAATTGAGGCTTTCATTGGAGCACTGCCTTTCACATGTTCCATTATTCTCACTTTCTCCTTTGTAATTGTTCCAAAAGTTGAGCGACTGAAGCCTAATGCTTTCCCAGTGAATGATGGCATCTGGCCTTTCTCTGAATGCTTAACTATTTCTACTTTTGTTTCCATTGTGATCACTTTTCTTTTTGCTGCAGGCTCACCCGAACTTGCAGTGGACTTTTGCTTTGGAGGCATGGTCGGAAGGGTAAACACAGACTCACAAAATCAAATAAAAAATTTAA